AGGAGGAGGAGGAGGAGGAGGAGGAGGAGGAGGGAGGAGGAGGAGGAGGAGGAGGAGGGAGGAGGAGGGAGGAGGGACGAGGAGGAGGAGAGGAGGCGGAGGAGGCGCGGCGGGCGCCCGCCTCGCCGCCCCGCGCCTCGGCCGCGTAGCGCCCCGCGCCCCCGCGGGCGGCGGCGCCCGCGGCGGGGAGCGCGCCCGCCTCGCTGGCGCCCGCGGGGGCCGCGGCCGCCAGCAGCCCCAGGCAGAGGAGCCGCAGCATCGCCGCGGGCGCGGGCGCCGCGCGCGCGCACCGCGGCGGGAGCTGCCCCGCGAGACGGAGCTGGACCCAGAGATCCGACGTAACCTGGAAAGATCTGGGCTCCTTGGAAAGATCAGGACGGAGGTGTTCGTCGCAGATCTCGGCCCCTGGGGGCCCTCGCCGGGCCTCGGGGCCGTGAAAAACCGACCAGGGGTGAGAAGCCGGTCCTGGGGAATGGGTCGAGACTTCCGGGGACCCCGCAGTGAAAAAGTCGCGACATCGGATCTCTGGGGAGGGCGAGGATCCAATCGGGCGAGGGTCCATCAAGACTCTCGGAGAGCCTGCGGCTGTGGAGGATGCATCGGGCGCCGCGGCCTTCCCGGAGCGCTCCAGCACGCTCCGAGAACGTGGCGGAACGCTCTGGGACGGATTGATCATCGTCCTAGCCCCGTCTGGGCCCAGCCTGGGCGCCCCACCCCTTGAGCCGGAATAGCCACGGAGGCGTGCGTGCCTGGAAACTCCAGCGGGCTTCTGGTGTCAATGTCATTCGCTTCCTTCATTTCGGCCTCGGGGGCCGTTTTCGGGCAATGGGACCATCAGACCTGGCGCGAGGGAGGGGGTCGAGAGTTGTAGGGTTAAGTCGGGCCTGTCCTGTTACAGGGGGATTTGGGACACTCAAACAATACCCCAAAATGGTCAAGAAATACTCAAAAACGTCCCCTGACTATTTCTTTACTATTTTTGAATATTCCTCCTGTAGAGGGACAAGCCAGACTCAACCATGGGACCATCAGACCTGGCGCGAGGGAGGGGGTCGAGAGCTGTAGGGCCTGCGGATTGAAAAACTGTCCCCCGGAGGTCTGACACACCCAAAAGTTGCCAGAAGGGCTTTAAAGGAGCGCGAGATCAATGCTTGGCAATATGTTCGAAGAGTTTTGTATCCACTTAGGGAGCCCACAAAGGACGTACGCGGCCAGCTATGTACATGAACACGGCCCCTCGATCCACGAGACTGGCCGCGTTATACGAACATCTGCGAAATGCGCACTCACGAAACCAGCGTGGATTCACGTACGTGTACGTCCTTCTTTCGCTCCTGCCCATTGTCCGAAATCTGTCCCAATGGATCCATGGCAACTTCCCCATATGTTTCCCCACACTCTGCCGTCCCCTACTGTTTCGTTATATCGAATCGGATGCGTTTGGGGCGTTCGTGAGTGTGTGTGTGTGTGTGCTGAAGAAGTATCGACCAGGAGCCTCCTGCTTTGAGTGAGTTGTAAGTGCATATCGAGCGGGAGCCTCGTTTCTGCGGAACCAATAGCAAGAACCTGCCAGGATCCTCCCGATGACGTCTCAAGAGCTCAGTCATTATCCTTATGATGGTTTTATATCGTTAGCCTTCTCCGTATCATTTTTATCCTTAATCCCTAATCCCTTATCGTTTATCGTTTATCCTTATCATTGCATCCAGGATCGAGGAGTTCGAGGATCGAGGTCGAGGGAGAAGGATCGAGAAAGGATGGAGGAGGACGACCGAGGAGGAGGATCAAGGAGGAGGGGAGCAAAAGGAACGAGAATTATCCTGGCGAAGGACCCAACCATATGCAGTTGTGAGTATCGCAATTCTGAGTATCTTCTTCGGTGGCGCTCCCTATGGGGCCACGAACCGCATGAGGGGTGTGCCGAAATGTGGCGGGGTACACAACGCAAAGGAATACGATAGATCTGATTACGAGAGAAAGAACGCGGGTGAGTCAGAGCGCGAGGGAATCTGAGTATGAATGGGTCTGCGCGCGAGTGAATATATTTGCATGAATGCGATCATGGAACCGCCTAGTGTAAGTGTCGAGCATGCCTGTCCGAACACACGTGACACTGGGCGTGGCCGCCGCAGGCAGCTTCCGCGGGAACCCCGACGGCAGCGTCCGCACGTCGCGACGCCCATGTCGGCACGCCTCTTGCGAGGATCGCGCCCGCTTTCGGCTCTTCTTTTCCTTCCTCTTTGCCCGCGCACTCCAAAATCCAAGGCTGCGGGCGCAGCGCAGCGCGGAGTCCCCGCGACGCGCGCTGGTCGCCCCGGGCGGGGTCCCAGCGACGCGCGCGGGTCGTCCGCTGCGCGAAGCAGAGAGAGCTGACTAGCTAACTGGCTGGCTGATAGCGGGCAAGTCTCTGACCGCTGGGCAGAGCGACGACGGGCGAACGAGGCGCCGGGCCCCCCGCAGCACGGAGTTCCCGCGACGCGCGCTGGTCGCCCCGAGAGGGTCCCAGCGACGCGCGCGGGTCGTCCGCGGCGCGAGGCCAAACAATTAGTCGGGCAGTCGAGAGAAGGCGCGGCTCGGGGGAGACGCTCCTCAGGTCAGGCCTCGCGGATGAACTCGGTGAAGCCGAGCTCCCTGGCGAGGGCCGTCGCTTCCCTCCTGCACCGCTTCGTGCGCGCCGCAAACTGCTCCAGCTGCTTCCGCAAGCCCTGCGGCGGCCCTGCCAGGAAGAACTCGATGCGCGGCGCCCGCATGAGCAGGAGGTCCTCGTGGCGCGTGGCGCGCGAGAGCAGCACGTAGAGCTCCAGCCACCAGTCGTCGTCCTCCTTCTTGCCGTTCCCTACCTCGTGGCGGCCGCAATCCAGGATCACGCCTGGGCGACGTCGACCGAGGGAGCAGCGCGCCGGGCAGCCGACGGCCCAGGGCGAGAGTCCACAGGACCGAGAGATGGTCTGGCCGCGGACTGCTCGCGCCCCGGAGGTCTGGCCGCCCCCGGAGCGCCGTTCCCCCGCCCCGTCGCCTTCGCGCATGGTGCGCCCCTGGCACGCCACCGTGGTGATGACCCTGCCGTGCGAGAAATGCGGGGGGTGTGCCGAAATGGGTGGGGGTGACGCATGCGGGCGGCGGCACTGAGGCCTTCGGTGGAGCTCCCTATGGAGCCACGAAACGTGTGAGGGGTGTGCCGAAATGGGTGTGGGGGGGACGCATGCGGCCGCGGGCACTGGGGCCTTCGGTGGAGCTCCCTATGGAGCCACGAAACGTGTGAGGGGTGTGCCGAAATGGGTGTGGGGGACGCATGCGGCCGCGGGCACTGGGGCCTTCGGTGGAGCTCCCTATGGAGCCACGAAACGTGTGAGGGGTGTGCCGAAATGGGTGTGGGGACGCATGCGGCCGCGGGCACTGGGGCCTTCGGTGGAGCTCCCTATGGAGCCACGAAACGTGTGAGGGGTGTGCCGAAATGGGTGTGGGGGACGCATGCGGCCGCGGGCACTGGGGCCTTCGGTGGAGCTCCCTATGGAGCCACGAAACGTGTGAGGGGTGTGCCGAAATGGGTGTGGGGGACGCATGCGGCCGCGGGCACTGGGGCCTTCGGTGGAGCTCCCTATGGAGCCACGAAACGTGTGAGGGGTGTGCCGAAATGGGTGTGGGGGACGCATGCGGCCGCGGGCACTGGGGCCTTCGGTGGAGCTCCCTATGGAGCCACGAAACGTGTGAGGGGTGTGCCGAAATGGGTGTGGGGACGCATGCGGGCGCGGGCACTGGGGCCTTCGGTGGAGCTCCCTATGGAGCCACGAAACGTGTGAGGGGTGTGCCGAAATGGGTGTGGGGGACGCATGCGGCCGCGGGCACTGGGGCCTTCGGTGGAGCTCCCTATGGAGCCACGAAACGTGTGAGGGGTGTGCCGAAATGGGTGTGGGGGACGCATGCGGCCGCGGGCACTGGGGCCTTCGGTGGAGCTCCCTATGGAGCCACGAAACGTGTGAGGGGTGTGCCGAAATGGGTGTGGGGGACGCATGCACTGGGGCCTTCGGTGGAGTGGAGCCACGAAACGTGTGAGGGGTGTGCCGAAATGGGTGTGGGGGACGCATGCGGCCGCGGGCACTGGGGCCTTCGGTGGAGCTCCCTATGGCCACGAAACGTGTGACTGGGGACGCTGCGGCCGCGGGGGGTGGAGCTCCCTATGGAGCCACGAAACGTGTGAGGGTGTGCCGAAATGGTGTGGGGGACGCATGCGGCCGCGGGCACTGGGGCCTTCGGTGGAGCTCCCTATGGAGCCACGAAACGTGTGAGGGGTGTGCCGAAATGGGTGTGGGGGACGCATGCGGCCGCGGGCACTGGGGCCTTCGGTGGAGCTCCCTATGGAGCCACGAAACGTGTGAGGGGTGTGCCGAAATGGGTGTGGGGGACGCATGCGGCCGCGGGCACTGGGGCCTTCGGTGGAGCTCCCTATGGAGCCACGAAACGTGTGAGGGGTGTGCCGAAATGGGTGATGATGATGATGATGATTGATGATGATGATGATGATGATGATGATGATGATGATGATGATGATGATGATGATGATGATGATGATGATGATGATGATGATGATGATGATGATGATGATGATGATGATGATGATGATGATGATGATGATGATGGGAGGGGGGAGGAGGCAGCGGGAGGAAGGAAGGAAGGAAGGAAGGAAGGAAGGAAGGAGAACGCGGGGCACCGTCTCTTCAAAACGAGGACCCAACACCACAGGATGGTTGGGAAAAAAATCGAGGATCGAGAAGGAAGAGAAAAATCGAGGATCGAGGAGGAGGAACAGGAATGAGGATCGAGGATCTAGGAGGAGAAGGATCGAGGAGGAAGATAGAGGGTGGAAGAGGATGGAGGAGGAGCAAGAGGAGGACCGAGGAACGATGAGGATCGAGGAGGAAGATGGTCGAGTATCGAGGAGAAGGAGAATCGAGGATCGAGGAGGAAAATCGATGAGAAGGATGATCGAGAAGGAGGATACATCATTGCTTTGTCATTCCATTGTCCATCATATCTGGGATCATTTCGTCTCGCATCAGCGCGATCGCTCTGGTGGACTGGAAAGAAGATGTGGGAGAAGTAGGCAAGCGGCAACGCCGTACGCGGCAAGACGCCTGGAAACAGGCCCGCGATGTTGCCACGCTCGATTGAGATCGAAACGGTGCTGCGGGAGCAGATAATTCGCCACCACACTTTCCAACCGTGCGAGACTGGAAAAGAAATGCGCAGATTCCGCTGACGCTGGAGGCTCTACGAAGCAGCCAACGCACCATTGTGCATACAGATTATTCATATGAGGAGGCAGGGGAACAGGCAGAAAGGGATAGAAGCGGAAGCGGGGAGGGAGGGCTGCAAGCCTCACTCCAAAGCCAGTCCTGCGTCTGAGAGACTGCCCCTCGAGCAAGGCTGGACATGTGACGGACCTAGCCGTAGAGGTCGTCATCGTCGTTCGCAGCCATTGCGGCATTGCCCCCACCAATGCCGGGACCGTCCGGCCAGTTGATTACCACCCCGCTGCCACCACCGGACTGGGTCATGTAGACGGGATCGAACTTCTTGCGGAACTGGTCGAACTTCGCCAAGTCCGTGGCGGCCACGGAGCGGCGCGCGCCCGAGAAGGCCTCCTCGAAGTGCTTCCTGCCGATCTCGTTCGCGGCGCCGTCGTCCATGGCGTCGTCGCCCGCCTTGAGCTCCTCCGCGGCGATGGCGTCGCGGATGGCGGCCTTGGCCGCGCGCTGGCACAGCTCGGCGAGGTCGGCCCCGGAGAAGCCCTCGGTCTTCTGCGCCACGAACGGCAGGGGCACGTTGGGCGCGATGGGGGACTTCTTCAGCGTGGCCTCGAGGATGTTCTGCCTGGCCGGCAGGTCGGGGAGCGGGATGTTCGGGTGTTGCTAGAAGTGCCCCTGGCCCAGGGTACCCCTCGGATTCTCGGGGTGGCCCAGACGGCCTCCAGGGCACGCCTCACGAGGCCCAGAGGGCCCCAGGGGATCCAAAATGGAGCGGAAAGCTGGGGGGCACCTTGGGCCAGGGGCACTTCTGGCAACACCCGAGATGTAGATCAGCTGGTCCAGTCGCCCGGGCCGCAGCAGGGCCTCGTCGAGGAGCTCCGGGCGGTTGGTGGCGCCGATGAAGAAGACGTTCTTCTTCACGCCCACGCCGTCGATCTCGGTCAGCAGCTGGTTCATGATGCGGTCTCCTGCGCCCCCCGCTTCCCCGCCGCCAGACCCGCGCGCCGTGCCAATCGAGTCGAGCTCGTCGAAGAAGAGCACGCACGGCGCCGCGGCCCTGGCCTTGTCGAAGACCTCGCGGACGTTTGCCTCGGACTCGCCGAACCACATGGTGAGCAGCTCGGGGCCCTTGATGCTCACGAAGTTGGAGGAGCACTCGCTGGCCACGGCCTTGGCGAGCAGGGTCTTCCCGCAGCCGGGAGGTCCGTAGAAGAGCACCCCGCGGGAGGGCGTCATGCCGAACTTCTCGAATTTCTCCGGGTGGTCGATCGGGTATAGGATGGTCTCCTGCAGCGCTCGCTTGGTGTCCTCCAATCCGCCGATGTCGTCCCACTTGATGTTGGGAACCTCGACCACGGTGTCGCGCAAGGAGGACGGGTTGCACGTCCCCATGGCCACCTTGAAGTGCTCTTGGGTCACCGCCATGGAGTCGAGGATCTCCGCGTCGATCGTCTCCTCAGGAGAGCCCAGAATGGAATCGATAAATCGGATCGGCGATCGCAATCAATCGGATCGGCGGAAATCGGCAGCCGAGTCGGGAAAAGTCGAATCGGCAGAAATCAGCAGGCTAGCAGGCCTCCACTGAGAAATGGGAGCCCGAATCTGAATCCAAAGTCGAATCGAATCGGCATCGGTGTCCATCGAAATCGAATCGAGTCGAATCGAATCGGAGGAATCGACATGAGCCGTCTCCTCGTCCAGGTCGATGAGGTCCATCTTCTCCCGGATGCACTGCAGCGCCGCCTCCGTGCCGAGCTGCGCGAGGTCCGCGCCCACGAAGCCGTGGGTGTTCGCCGCGATGTCCTCGAGCTTCACGTCGGGAGCCAGCTTCATGTTCTTCGTGTGGATGCGCAAGATCTCCTTCGGCGTCGCTTCATGGGGGGGCGATACACAGAAGAAGAAAAAACGGCGGAATCATAGACTTCCGACGGTCCGCCCGGATTCCTTGGATCTGCGCTGGACCCCGCTCCCTGGCGCGCGGACCGCGACAGGGGCGGCGCCGGAGGCGTCGCCAGGGCGCTCCAGCGCAGATCCAAGAAAAACGCGCGGAGCGTCGAAAGTTTATGTCTATAGCGTTTTTCTTCTTCTGACACTTTGGGCGACCCAAAAGGGGGTCCCGCTGCAAGGGGGTGGTGCAATAGATTTGTGGCAATTGTATTGCAAATGTATTGCGCTGGAGAGTTGTATTGCATTGTATTGCAAGTAATGTATTGCACGCGAAAATCCAACAATATGTCTGCGCCCCGCAATGCATTGCACGCCCCAAATGCATTGCAACCCAACAAATCTATTGCACCAAGTCTATTGCACCACCCCCTGGTCGCTGGACCCCCTTTTGGGTCGACCCGAAATGCATGATGGGGGGGGGAGAAAGGTGCACTTTTCGGGCCCTGAAGGCAAAGGGCCCTACAGGGGCCCCTTTGAGGGGCCTCAAGGGCCCCGTTTTCTGCAGCCCTCGCTGCCCCCAATCTATCGCCCCCCCGTTACGCGACGCCCAGACTCCAGGCGGCCGTTGTCGTCTGGGACGCCGATGTCCAGCTCGCGGTCGAAGCGCCCGAAGCGCCGGAGGGCCTGGTCTATGGTGTTGGGCCTGTTGGTCGCGGCGATGACGACCGTCTGGCTGCGGCCCTTCATGCCGTCCATGAGCGTGAGCATCTGCGAGACCACCCTCTTCTCCACCTCGCCGCTCGTCTTGTCGCGCTTCGGGGCGATCGAGTCGATCTCGTCGATGAAGATGATGGACGGAGCGTTCTTCTCGGCCTCCTCGAAAGCCTTGCGGAGGTTGCCCTCGGCCTCTCCAGCCATCTTCGACATGATCTCGGGGCCGTTGATCAGGAAAAAGAAGGCCCCAGTCTCGTTGGCCACGGCGCGCGCGATCAACGTCTTCCCGCTGCCCGGCGGGCCGTACAGCAGCACCCCGCGCGGTGGCTTCACGCCGAGCGTCTTGAAGAGCGTGGGGTGCCGCAGGGGCAGCTCGATCATCTCTCGGATCTGGGCCATCGCCTTCTTGCAGCCGCCGATGTCGTCGTAGCCGATGTCGTCGAGCTTCTCCTCGTCCTCGCGCTTCACGGGCTCCCCCTCGCAATGGATCACCGTGTCTGGCGCAACGATGCAGAACTCGCCCGGCTCCACCCCGACGACCTTGAACTCCACCGGGCGGAAGCCGCCACGGACCAGGAAGAGATCGCCCTGGCGGGCTGGGCGGTACGCCTCCAGGAAGTACGGCTTCAGGTACGTGTCGAAGAGGTTCCCCGTGATGCCCTCGATGGTATCGTCGAGCGGCAGCACGTGGACGCGCTTGCCGTACGGCACGTCGCCGCACGCATGCACCGAGACGATGTCGCCGAGGCGAACACGCAAATTCTTGCGCACCACCTTGTTCAATCAGGCGGCCCCCCTGGAGTCTCCTCGGCGTGTGAGGCTGTTGCCCCTCCTCAAACCCCTCCCCCGGGAGCCCGGTTCAGCCGGTTTGGAGGGGGAGGGTGGGGGAGGAAGTGGGAAGGGAGGGGGGGGGGGGAAGGGGGACAAGACAGGCCGGCGGCCTCACGTGCTCCAGAACTGCTCCCGGACGGCCTCCGATGGCATCCAGTGCCCCAAGCCGTTCCCAGACGACCCAAGATGACGGAAAGAGCGAGGCACGAGTGATGATGATCTGGTTGAGAATCGTTTATCCGACCCCCATGTGGCCTGGGCCCCACTGGCCGATTTACCCCCCTAGATAGGGATATAGGCCCTTCCCTTCGGGCTTCGAGGGGTCTATCCCCAACTGGGGCGGTAATTTGGTGGGGGTCTCGAAGGGGATGGGAATGGGGATGGGGATCGGATAAACGATACTCCAGATTTCGTAATAAAAGGGAGGGGGTCTGGACCCTCCAAGACAAGCCATTTCAGACCTCCCCCGTGGGAGAACCCGCCAAAACATCGTCCCCAGACCCCCCCCAGTCCAAGATGGCCTGGAAGAGACCCCCCCCCGAAATGAGACGCCCCTCCCTTTATTACGAAATCTGGAGTACTGACTGGTGGGGCGAAGCCCTCTAGGGAGATGTTCCAGGGGAGAGGGGCAGCGCGACCAGGCCCGGGTAGCACGACCAGCCGTCCCCAGGACGGCCCCCCCGAGAGCGACCAGGAGGCCCCAAAGGCCGCCCAAGAGAGGTCCGATCCTCTCCTCCTCCCCTCCTCCTCCTCCTCCTCCTCCTCCTCCTCCTCCTCCTCCTCCTCCGCCTCCTCTCCTCCTCCTCCTCCTCCTCCTCCTCTCCTCCTCCTCCTCCCTCCTCCTCCTCCTCCCTCCTCTCCTCCTCCTCCTCCTCCCTCCTCTCCTCCTCCTCCTCCTCTCTCTCTTCTCCTCCTCCTCCTCTCCTCCTCCTCCTCCTCCTCCTCCTCCTACTCCTCCTACTCCTCGTTCCTCCTCGACGGCTCCAAGACGAATGAAGAGCGCTCCAAGAGAGCCCAGAACCGTCCAAGTGCATTCCAAGGTGGCATCGCATGGCCTCAAGACGGCCAAAGGGGGCCCTAAGACGGTCCAAGAGGCCCCAAAGACGGCCCAAGAGAGGTCCAAGACGGCACCAAAATGGATGAAGAGCCCTGCAAAAGAGCCCAGGAGCGTCCATGTGCATTCCAAGGTGGCATCATATGGCCTCAAGACGGTTCAAGGGGTCCCTAAGACTGTCCAAGAGGCCCTCAGGAGGACCTCCGACAGGGCCTTAGGAGGCCAAAAACATGAACTTGCTTTAGGTTTTTTACTGGTCTTGGGGCTTCTCTTCCGACGGACCAAGACGGCTCAAGAACACCAAAAATCACCCCGAGACGGCCCGAGAGGCCCCAATGAGGGCCCCAAGACAAGCCCAGAAGGGCCCAAAGAGGCTCCCAAGAGAGCCCCGACAAGGCCCCAAGAGGCCCCGAAAAGCGAGCCCCAAGCACAGCCAAAGCCCCCCAAGACGGCCCAAGATAGCCCCAAGACGGCCCAAAAGGGCTCCAAGAGGACCCCCAAGAAGGCCCGGAGAGGCCTGAATCGCTGATTCTCGAAAGGTTCACTGCACCAGCCTTGCAAACGTGCTGCAGCGGACTTTTGCGTGGCTTTCTGTAAACCCCGAAAGGGCGAGCGAAAAAAGAAGTGAATGTCACATGGATTCGTTGTAGTCTTCATTCCTGGCCAAAAGAATTCCGCGCGAAATTCGCATCGAAATCCGGAACGAAATTCTCCAGGACAATCCGGGCTCATCGCATTGCTTTCCGAACGAAATCCGCTCAGCGAAGTTGGCGCCATGAAACGGTGTGTCCTGTACTGGGCTCCTCAGTACAGACGATGGTGTGCGGACCACACGACGGCACATTGACGGACACAGCTTTGCTGCCAAAACTCCCGCCCCCAGACGGCCAAGTGACAGACACAGCTTTGACGCCGAGGCTCCGAAAGAGCTTCAGGTTACAGGATACCCCTTTCAAGTCGAAAGGCCCACAATAGGCTCCCAGGCGGTCCACAATAGGCCCCAAAACAACCCAACATGGCCAATTTTGAGTTCGGTACTGTGCTTCCCAGATGGACGCACGGCGCCAACACGCGTCTACGACAACGCAACGCCGACAGGAAGAGTGGCATCCAGGGCTCCCAAGGGGTCGGCGGTGCGGCGTGAACCAACGAATCGAATCTTGTTATCGTCGAGGTTATCGTCCGCGAGAACGATGCAAACAGTGTCCTTCCGCTTTTTGCCCTTGATAAGCACGTTATCGCCGCGGAACATGCTCAGCTCCTCCATCTTAGCTTGCGACAGGGAGATCACGGAGTTATCATCATTGAGCGCTTCCTCGACGACGAGGCGGTTGGGCGAACGTTTCTTCGTGGGCCGCGCGGCATCGACAACGGGTGCATCGCTCGCTGCGGCAGCCATCCGACCAGCGGCAACAGGAGGTTACGCGTGCGAATTGTACTAGGCCTGAGGCCTGCGAATACGTCTGAGCCAAAGAGGCTTGAACCAAAATGGCTACGCACGGACATTGCAGGGTTGGTGTCTTCGGGCAAAAGCTAGCCCTGCATTGACTCCCCACCCAAGCTAAATAATCGGCGCCGGCTCTCGCGATTCACAATCACTATCGCGGAGGCTGCCATGGATGCGAGCGTGAGGAGAAACCAGACCGACGACTTCACTTGTCGGTGAATATTTGCGACGTTCGTAAGAAGAAGTGATCATAAACTTCGCTGGCAACCCGCGCCCAGGTGACCAGCAGGTGAACACCAACAAATCACCACGCATAACACAACGAAGGACACACGATGAATGCAACGAATAACTATGCACATACGTCGCAGCTCGGAAGATGAGGAATGTCAACTCCCTGGCGCGGCTTGGAAAGCTACCAAACGGCGGCCGACATTGCAAACGAAGCCTCCAAGACGCGTCCCACTCTGCCACTGGGTCTTTCCAGACCGCGAGCCTCCAGCTTGCCCCAGACAGACCCAAAGACCGCTCAAAGAGGGCCCCAAGTGGCTACGGAGCCTCCCAAGAATGCCTCGAAGAGGCCAGCATTCTTCAGCTCAATGAGTTGTCTCCCACCTCCTTGAATGGCACACTGCTGCTCCTTCATCCTCCATATCGCGCCCTCTCCCGCCCCCTCTCCTTCTCCCCGTCCTGCCTCAAACCCCCTACAGCGGAGGCCAGTCCACAAGAAACCTTCCACAAGAAACCCAACCCTGAGACCCCAGGACGTCCGTCGATGTTCGGTGGTGTGGGAACGTCACGCTCTCCAGCGCAAAACCCTCGAAATCCAAGAAACCCAGGGCACCCTGGAGGCAAGCGGCGTGTTTCTTGGCATGGGCCTCCGCTGTATCGCGCCCTCCCCCGCCCCCTCTCCTCCTCCCCGTCCTGCCTCAAACCCCCCGCCTGCTCCCGCCTCCTGCCTCCCTCCCGTCTCCTGCCTCGCCTCCCGGGCGCCACCCACCGCGCAGCGGTCTAAATTGTGTGTGAAAGGCAAGCAGAGGGCGGTCATGCGGGGACCCAAAAGAGACATCCGGGAACCGACCACAACGATGTTTAAAACGAAAGGGCGTCTACAACGGACATAGAAACGATGCCCAACGTTCAAAACGACCGTTTAGAACGAAGCCAGAGCCAAGCGAAAACCAACGACGAAACGGGGCGTGCAAAACAACAACGAAAAACGATACGAAAAACAAAACAGGGGCCCTAACTAAGCTAAACAGCGTTGTGGTCTGTCCGTGGAGACATCGCCCTCTGCCAGCTGCGCCAGGATCGAGCTCCTGGGAGGTCCAGCGGAGCGGCGCCTCGCGGGGGCCCAAATGAGACGTCGCGGGCTGCACGACTGACGTCACTCCTGTGAGCTCCTAGCATGCACACCTGAGCCATCGTGGTGGAGGAATGCGTGGCTGTTGATAAATCCGCCACCGTGCCCCCTGGCACGTCGAGGCGTGCCAGAACGTCAAGTGCTGTCCGAGAGGGCTCATGCATTCTTCTACGGGGCACCCCCCCTTCCCCGCACTAACTGCGTGCATTGCCCCCCCCCTCCGGGACCACCACCCCATTCAACCGGCGGCGAGCGAGGGGGGGAGATGAGAAGGGGCGGGCCTTCTCAGAAGTCTCGGAAGTCCCCCGGCCTTCTGAGATTTCTAAGCCTTCCCCAGGGACAGAAAAAACCTCTCAGAAGGCGCGAGGGCTTCTGAGAAGTCCCGCCGCCTTCTGAGAAGGCCTTCTCCTCCTCCTCCTCCGCCTCCTCCTCCTCCTCCTCCTTCTTCCCCCCATCGCTCGCCGCCGATTCAAAGAAGAGAGCATCCGCGCTCACGAAGCAGGAGCCCCTCGCGGTTTTTGCGACGGCTCCGCGCGCTCCCGCACGTCCAAGGCAGCCGAGATGGCCCAAGGTGGCTCCAAGATGGACGAAGATGTCCCTAATGGGACGCACAAAGACATACTAGTACTAGATGTTCTCCTTGGAGGCGCGCGTCCGACCCGAACATACAGTATACCCATCTTGTAGTATACCGTTTCCCGAGCGGTGTGGCCAGAAAGCGCCCGCCACGACGCATATACTGTAAGAGTTCTCGGTGCGAGCGTCGCCCTTGGGGGGGGGGGGGGGGCGACGCACACATAGTATAAGTTGGTTGGGGTGACGCCGACCTAAGGCGCTCAAGATGTTGAACGTTTTCTTATTCGGCGTTTCGGCATTGGGCGGAAGAGGGGGGGTCTGGCTCTGGACCTCTGCTGAATGCGACTGCTTGCAACAGTGCGTCCTATGGAGAACACTCCACCTGCTCGAAACAGGCGCCTAAAACATCCAAGCTCCATGGGGGGGAGGGGGGGCCCGCGCCGATCGGCAAAACAATGAATAAGGAAACGATCGCATGGCCGCACGAGAGCCCCGCTGTAAGGTCCAAAGGAGCCAAAATCAGGGATGTTCTCGAGGTGTTTCTGGCAAGGCTCGGGCGTCTTCGCCTCTGCGGGTTTCCTGCAGCTCCAGCTCCAGACAGCCCTCGAGGCCTCCAAGATGGCCCCAAGACGGCGGACAGAAAGCCCCAAAACTGCCGATTATCCTCCAAGACGGCTTCAGAACGGCACAGAAGGGCCCCTAGACGGCCCAGGATGGCACCAAGAGAGCCCCAAGCTGGCCCATGAGGGGCCTCCCGAGGAACCCAAGACGGCCTCAGAGGGCCCCTTCGGCTGCCCAAGAGGGTAAACAACGGCCTCAAGAAACCCGATCGACGGCCGAGATGGCCCCAAGACGGCCCAAAAAGAGGCCCTACCCGCACGGCCCACGAGGGACCAAAGACGGCCCACGAGGGCCCCAAGGGGCCCCACAAGACTGCCCCACAGGAGTCCAAGACAGCCCCAAGACGGCACAAATGAGCTACACGAGAGCTCCTCAAGAGGCGAGGACGCAAGGTGTCACATGTGACGGCCTTAGGCGCTCGAAGCTTCGCAACCCAATAGGCTGACCTAGCTCGGTGGCGGAACTTGCCCTGGGCATCTGGATATCCTCTCGCACGGCTCGCTCAAACGCAGCGAGGGGGGACAAGTAGACACCCTCGGCCGCAAGCTCGAAGGTGCACCAAGCGTACCATACATATCTATATATATGTGCGTATGTATATATGCACATAAATATACGTATAAACAAAATCTATATCTATATATGTGTGTGTGCTTACACACACACATACATACATGCGTACATACTTATTCCCCGATCAGAGCTTGCCTCTGTAAGGGTCCTACCGGATTCATATGGTTAAGTGATAGGTGTCACCGAGTTCCGCGGCCCGCCCGGGTGCCCGGGAGCCCGGGTGCCTTGTAGCCCTATAGCCCTATAGCCCTATAGCCCTATAGGCCTGTAGCCCTATAGACCTATAGCCCTAGAGCACCATAGCCCAATAGCCCTAAAGCCCTATGGCCCAATAGCCCTAAAGCCCTATGGCCCAATAGCCCAAAAGCCCCAAAAGCCCTATAGCCTTAAAGCCTTAAAGCCTTATAGCCCTACACCCTAGAGCCCTATAGCTCTATGGCCCTATATCCATATAGCGTTATATGCCTACAGCCCTGTAGCCCTATAGCCGCATCGCCCTACATCCCTATAGCCCTGTAGCCCTATGGTCCTATAGCCATATAGCCCCATAGCCCTATAGGCTCATAGCCCATATGACCCTAAAGCCCTATAGCACCATAGCCCCAGAGCCCCATTGCCCCATAGCCCGATAGCCCTTCAGCCCTATAGCCCTATGGCCCTGTAGACCTATAGCGTCATAGCCATATAGCCCTATAGTCCGATCGCCCTATAGCACAACAGCGCCATAGCCCTATAGCCATGAAAAGAGGTGGAATGCGGCTTTTTTCCTGTATCCTATACATATATACGTACATACATACATGCATGCAAGCATGCGTGCATGCAACAGTGCTGCATGCACATACATACATATAGACACACATACATACACGCATACATGCATGCATGCCTACCCATCTATCAGCATATATACATACATGTATGCATGCATACGTATATATACGCATACACCCGTGGCATCCGTTACATGCACGCATGCATGCATACATACATACCCATGTACGTACATGCATGCATACATGAATGCAAGCATGCGTGCATGCATGCATACATACATTAGTGTATGCATATATGCACACGTACATGCATAGTATATCTGCATGCAAACATACATACATACATGCATGCGTGCATACATACATGCATGCATGCATACGTACAAACATACATTCACACATACATGCATATACATACATATAAATATATACATACACACGTGTATCGATACATGTATACATACACGCATGAATATATGTATGCATGCATACATGCATGCATACATACATACATGCACACAGACATGCATACATACATACATGCACACACAGACAAACATGCATGCATGCATGCATACATGCATGCATGTATGTATGCATACATACTGAAATACATCAATACATATATACATGCATAGCTGCATACATACATACACATGCATGCAACATACATACACACATACATACATACAAAGGGCACGTGCGTGCCCAGTCCCATACAAACATGTGCAAGATGTGCGTGTTGTGTAAGGTGTGTATTATGCGTGCTGAGTGTTGTGCGCGTGAGTTGTGTGCTGTGTGTGCTATGTGAGAGTTACGTGAGGGTTGTGTGTTCTGCGTGAGATGTGTTAGGTGTGTTGTGTGTGAGCGTTGTGTGTTAGTTGTGGTGTGCGTGTTTTGTGTGGTGTATATGTATTATATGCGTGTGTTCTACGTCGGGGCTTGATTTTGGGAGGGTGTCTCAGGCGAAACTGCCTCTCATGCTTTGGGAAACGCGCAAGGCTGCAGGATGTGCTGCGAGCTGCTCGTCACGACTGGCGCTTCTGGCGGGCGTCCAAAGGCCCGCTCCCGGGCTGCGCGCGCAACCACACGGCGCAGACAACGCTGGGCGGCGCCACAGGAGGAGGAGGAGGAGGAGGAGGAGGAGAAGACAAGTGGCGCACAGAGCGGTGGTGAAATGACATCAACAAATCCAGGCGCAACGAGATGCCCTCCAGGAGCGGCGGCACGCAACGAACAGGTCACGACTTACGGCCAGGCCGCAGAGACGCTGACCGGGTTTGGCGGTGGCCGTGACGCTTGCGCGGAGCGCCGTGCGTCCGTTCCAAGAATTCCCGGCAAAAACACACCTCCAAACAGGGCGTCACGATCCAAGAGCACAGTCTTGCTCGATAAGTGTAACATGCAGCATTCAAACACACAAGGCAACTCGAGGACTTTGAGCCCGACTCCTCGAAAGTTGCAGCTTCGCCCACCCCAGTGATCCGGTGTAGTGATTTTTTCAATACGAGGTCCCCCGAAGTCTCGATCGATTCCCCAGGACCGGTTTTTGGTCCCGAGTCGTTTCTTGACGGTCCCGAGGCCCCGCGAGAGCCCCTAGAGACCTAAATGTACGAAAAACCTCCGTCTTGATGTTTTCAATACTTTGGATCTCTGGGACACATCGAACTCTTTTTTGGCGCTGCCTCGCGCGGCCCGTGGCCGCGGGGCTGTGGCGCTGGCAGCGCAGCAGGCCCAGGCGCTCACGGACGAGGCCCCAGCGAGGCCAGGAGCACCGTGGCGTCGTCGAGCTCCAGCCCGCGGTGCCTCTCCGCCCATGACCTCTGGGCCTCCGTCCGGATCTCCTGGTGGGCTTGTTTCCACCGCCACCAGCACAAGCAGGAGGGGAGGGTGTCCTCCTCCTCCTCCTCCTCCTCCTCCTCCTCCTCCTCCTCCTCCTCCTCCTCCTCCTCCTCCTCCTCCTCCTCCTCCTCCTCCTCCTCCTCCTCTGCTTCCTCCTCCTCATCCTCCGCCTCCCCCCTCCAACAAATGGTGGCGGTGGTGGAAAAGAGGCCCATCATCTCCAGAGCGGCGGCCTGCGCGCCCACCTAGGGCAATCAAAAGGTACCGACACCGCTGCTCCCCGGACCTCTCCTGGGGTGCGTCCTGACCAGGATCTCGAGGCGAACCCAACGGCGGCGACGGGATCCTCCCAGAAGGCCCGAAAAGGGGAAAGACGACGGGAAGGGTAGCGGCATGGGTACTCCAGATTTCGTAATAAAGGGAGGGGGGTCTCATTTCGGGGGGGGTCTCTTCCAGCCTATCTTGGAGGGCCTGGGGGGTCTGGGGACGATGTTTTGGAGGGTTCTCCCACGGGGGAGGTCTGAAATGGCTTGTCTTGGAGGGTCCAGACCCCCTCCCTTTTATTACGAAATCTAGAGTACCTTTTCCTCCTCCGGCCACCAGGCCAGAGCGCAGGGCGAGCGCCGCCGCCCGGGCGCTCGAGAGCCCGTTCCAGACGCCGTCGCTGGCGAGGAGGACGTGGGTGCTCCCGCGGGGGTCGAGGCGCACGCACGCCACCTCGGGACCCCCAACTGATGGGCCTGTTTTCCACCACCACCACCACCGTAAGTTGGAGGGAGAGGGGGTCCTCCTCCTCCTCCTCCTCGTCCTCCTCCTCCTCCTCCCTCCTCCTCGTCCTCCTCCTCGTCCTCCTGCTTCCCCCCTCTAACTAATGGTGGTGGTGGTGGAAAACTCTAGGCCTCCTAGGTGGGGTCGGAGTAGACGGGGTCGGAGGATCGCGCCGCATCGCCGGTCCATCGCCGATGCATCGGCGATGCGGCGCGGTCCTCCGACCCCATCTACTCCGACCCCATCTAGGAGGCCTAGAGTTCTCCACCACCACCACCATAAGTTAGAGGGGGGAAGGAGGAGGACGAGGAGGAGGAGGAGGAGGAGGAGGACGACGAGGAGGAGGAGGAGGAGGACCCCCTCTCCCTCCAACTTACGGTGGTGGTGGTGGTGGAAAACAGGCCCATCAACAACAGCTCGCGGTCTTGTGGCTGCGCCTGGGGGGGTCTGGGGAGGATCCTCGGGCGCGTGCCGATCAGAACCGCACTAGCCTTCCTTCTGGGCACAAGTGGTTTGATAGGCGACGAAATCTACACACATCCAGTGCTCCCTGGCTGGGCCCATCCTGAACCCGGCAGCAGTGTACGCAACGCCCTCCTGGCCAAGCCAGGAGGGCGTATATGATCGAGGGTTTGGGCCCCCCCCCGATGCTAATGCCATCGGGCCACCCACCCCCCGCGCGATGGTCCCCCCCCGTGGATGTGGTGTGGGTGTGGTGTGTTGCTGTGGGTGTGTGTGCTGTGGGTGTGTGTGGGGTGACCCAATGTCCTCCCCCCCTCCCCCCCTGTGGGTGTGGTGTGGGTGTGTGTGGCTTTGATTGTGGCGTCATGCTGACGTGCTTTCGAAAAGCTCCGGTGCTCGACGTCGTCGCCGCCGCCGCCGCCGGTGCCGTCGACGTCGTCGTTGTCATCGTCGTCGTTGTCGGCGTTGTCGTCGTCGTCGTCGTCATCCGTCGTCGTCGTCCGCCGTCGTCCGTCGTCCGTCGTCGTCGTCGTCGTCGTCGTCGTCGTCGTCGTCGTCGTCGTCGTCGTCGCCGTCGTCGTCGTCGTCGTCGCCGTCGTCGTCGTCGGCCTCCTCCTCCTCCTCCGCCTCCTCCTCCTCCTCCTCCTCCTCCTCCTCCTCCTCCTCCTCCCCCTCCCCCCCCCCCGTCCCATCTGGGGGGGGGGTCCGAGGACCCTGGGACCCATCCCATCGGGGGGGGGGGAGCCGCGGGCCCGGAGCCCGCGATCATATACACAGCTCCTGGGTTCAGGACGGACCGGGCCAGGGAGCAGTGGATGCGTATAGATTTCGTCGCCCGATGTGGCGCATCCTCTCTCCCAGCTCCCTGCTTCGGGGTTCGCCCCGTCCCCGTACCCTCCGCAAAATCTGGACGACTGTCCCGCGAACAGTCAGAGTGTCCGATGTGGCTCTCAGCAGATGGCTCCAGGATGGCCCCAGGTGGCCTCCGAGATGCACTAGATATCTCACCTTGGACCAATGTGACCTCCTCTTCATGCCTCCAAAGGCCTCACGATCGCCACAAGACAGTTGGAGGTGACCACCGAATCGTATGCCCAATAATACATTCATGAGCAGCCTCAGGATTTGCAAAGGCACGAACATCTCACGGTTTCGTTTCTGACAGCCTTTCGAGCTCTCGAGGCCAACATAGCTAGCCCCAAGGAAGGCTCAGAAGAGCCCCAAGAAGGTCCCATCCTCGTCCATGATTACCTCCTCCTGGTCGATCTCCTGGTCGCACCACTGATCGTGTCAGTAGGGCGGGACAGGCGTTTCGCCTGATAGGTCCGCATCATTTGTGAGAATGAGCCATTTATTTCCAACAATTACACGGATGGAGGGCGAATCCTTTTCAAGTTATTATCCCTCGAATTACACCCGCGCACACCCTTGAAGGTGTCTAACGCTTACGCGAAGTGGCAATGGTCCGTTCACATAGTAAGACTCTGGCGGCGAACATTCCTGATAAGAGCTGGACTAATAGAGGGATCCATATTGTGGGGCTCTCGCTTTAGCGCCGCGCACACTCGTGATAAACATCCAACACTTCCACCAGATGCATCCAACAATTCCACGGGATGGAGCATTACAAATGCAGACCGGGGAAATTACTGGAGCCTTCGTCAAGTTTAGTGACCAGAACTATAGCCTTGTGCAACGGTTGCGATGATGGACGGCAACTCATTTAAGCCGCGGGGCTCACGCATGATAACTCAGCAAGTGTCACGCAAATATGATCAAAAACACGCACGTGCAGCAGCTGCAGAATTCGATGGCACTCAAAATCTTATGTTGCATCCGCGGGAGACCTTGTCTGTCCCGTCGCGGCCCTGTCCGCGTCGAATCCGTATCGAATCCATGTCAGACGCGTCGGATCCGTGTCGAATCCGTGTCGAATCCGCGTCGAATCCACGCCAAATCCGCGTCGAGTCCGCATCGAGCACGCGTCGGGCCCCCAAAAAGACACCAATTTTTGGGACAGGCGAGGTCCCCCGAAGATGCAACAGAAAAAATCCAGCTAGACTCGGTTTTGGCATGTCATTATCGTACCTCTTGGCGCTTCTAAGGAGAAGCACGGGCCCTCTCCAACATGGCGCTCTCGCCCGAACGGCAGGCCCATGGAGCGCTCGTTTCGCAGGAGGAGGCGAGGGCGCTACCGCAGCAAGAAGGACTGCTTGTGAGCAATTGCGGGGAAGGGACTTGAGACTGGGCCCTCTCTCCTCCTCCTCCTCCTCCTGGCTCCTCCTCCTCCTCCTCCTCCTCCTCCTCCTCCTCATTATCATCATCAGCGTCATCCTCATCCTCATCCTCCTCCTCCTCCTTCCTCCCTTCGCGCGCGAGAAGGAGAAAGAGAAGGAGGAGGATGGTGCGGATCCGCGACCCTCGATAGCAAATCCTCGATCCGTCCTCATCCTCCTCCTCCTCCTCCTCCTCCTCCTCCTCCTCCTCCTCCTCTTCCTCTTCCTCCTCCTCCTCCTCCTCCTCATCATCATCAGCATCAGCATCACCATCACCATCACCATCATCTCATCATGAAACTCACCCTCCTCATCATTATCATCAGCTGCATCATCAGCATCATCATGGTCATCAGCATCATCATCATCATCATCATCATCATCATCATCATCATCATCATCATCATCATCATCATCATCATCATCATCATCATCATCATCATCATCATCAACAGCGCCATCAGCATCCTCATCATCAGCAGCAGCATCGGCATCAGCATCATCGTCATCATCAACATCATCAACATCACCATCATCCTCATCATCATCCGCATCTCCACCATCATCATAAGCAGCATCAGCATAATCAGCAATAACAGCATCATCATGACCATCGCCATCCTCCTCATCAGCGTCATCATCATCCCAATCATCATTAGCATCTTCACCATCTTCATCATCATCGTCATCATCATCAGCAGCAGCATCCTCACCATCATCATCAGGCTCATCATCGACAGCAGCAGCAGCAGTAGCAAAATCATTTTCGTCGTCAACATCACCATCAGCAGCATCATCATCAGCATCATCCTCACCATCAGACTCGGCGCCCTCGATATTATCGTCAGCACCATCAGCATCGTGTTCATCATCATGATCACCATCATCACCAGCGGAATCATCATCAGCATCAGCATCAGCATCATCATCAGCATCAGTACCATCATCATCATCAGCAGCATCACCATCACCAGCATCATCATCATCATCATCAGCATCATCATCATCAGCATCAGCCACACCATCATCATCGTCAGCATCGTCATCATCACCATGGTCAGCATCATCAGCATCATCATCGACATCACCATCGTCCTCATCATCATCATAATCGTCATCATCAGCATCCGCATCTTCATCATCAGCATCATCATCAGAATCAGTATCATCAGCATAATCATCACCATC